GGTTGATTGTCTGTTCACGTGACGTCACCTCTGGATATTTTTGGATCAAAATTTGTCACGACATCGTGATCCTGTCATGAGCCAGGGTTGTGTCACCCTTAGGCCAAAAACATACATTTAAACAATTTTATTTACAAACGTAAGATTTATGCAAATGACAAAGAGAATTTTTTTTCATACTGATAAAAGAAGTGTATTTTGTGCTCTGTTGTGTTTCTGCTGGTTGATTATGGTGACCCCGCCATCACAATGGCTGTGCCTACTACTGTAAGTTGATATAATTGACTTTTCGCCAGTCATATCATGTTTAGTTTACATTCTTGCGTGAAATGTGGATTTGAGGGAATTTTCTTGAAAGAAAAGGATCTTAAAACTAACTGATTGTGCATGCATTGTCACCGCGGTCTCCGTTCTCTCGTCGATTGTTCGACGGAGTCATTGAACGAGGCAAACAGGAGCGCTAAATTTGCAAGTGGCAAACTGACAAGGTAATTCTTTTAACACCTCTTTTAAGTAAGCTGCTAATTTTCCCAAACGAAGCATTTATCTACCAGCTAGGTCAAAACGATGAAATCTGCGTATATTAACAACAATTAATATTAATGACAATTGAATTTTTTTCATGGCCCTTGCCTTTGCAGGATTTTTTGGGGGGCAAGTCCCCTGCACGAATTTGTTTTTAATCTTGACACTCGCCACAATCGAAATGCCTGGAATAGACTTCAAGTTTAAAACAAATATTTTCTAACTTTCACACAGTCGTTTTGCTTTCCTGTGAAAATTATACTCGGGGGAAACATAACCAAGGATCAGACACATCCAAGTGCTATTGCCTAAAATGGGGCTGCAGTGCTGTTTTGGCTTGATGTTTAGGTTAAAATATCAATTTTATAGATTCATTACTCTTGTAATACAATTCCTTCTTGGCAAGCAGTGAATCAAGGTTTAAGCTTAAGGGTTCTTTGAGTCCAGTTGCAAATGATGGAGTGAAAGGGTCTATTCAAATAGGGGGGGAGGGTCTAGGGGCATGCACCACCCCCCAAGAAAATTTTGCAAAATTGAAGCATTTTTGGTGCGTTTTCCACGATTTTCAGCCCATAAATTTAATGTATCGACTGGACGTGAATGATAATGCGTCATTTACTTTGCCAGAAACCTAAAATATATTTATTTCTTCACTTCTTCTTTTCACGATTTATTTTTTTAGTCACCTTCCCTTGCCTGAATTTGTTTTGCTTTTTCCTCACCCCCTCCATCATTTTTCTAATGGTCCGTCCCTTAGAAAGAACTAATACAATGTAAACAATAAGCCATCAGCTTTATGCTTCCTAGTCCCTAGCTATCTGAGTAGGCATGTACTAAAACCCGAAACAATGAAACGAAACGACCGAAATGAAACCACCGAAACGAGCGAAACGAAACCACCGAAACGAAACCAGCGAAACGACCGAAACGAGTAAAATAACAAGTAAATAAATGAAAAAGTTAAAAAAAAAAGCCTTGATCTCTAGCACGTTACTATGGCAGCCTGATCTCGTACCCAGATCCACATGTGTGACATCGTTACATCTCAAACCTGAAAGATGGATGAGCGGAAGGGTGTCGACTACGACCACGAAGACATCGAGAAAAAGGTGAGTATTTTTTACACTTTTAATGGAATTCTAGTTAAAACAAGGAATGTAATTTCAAAGAAAGGTTTCCTGGTCGTATCGTGGATTCTTAGACGGTGGCTAAAAGCAGGCCCGCGGCCCACGGCCCGCGACGGCCCAGCGGCCCGAGTGGCCCAATCCTGATTTTCCACAGTTTTTTTGTCCCGTGGTTAATCCACGCGCATGCACAGATCTGCATCGGGTATGGGCGTGCAAAATGGACGACGGTGAGTTTGAATTCGTTTACCCTTTTAATAATCATTTCAATCCTTTACGATCCTTTCTTTCGTTGCATGTTGCTAAGTGAAAAACGTTGTCATTCTCTGTTTATTCATCTCTTTACAGAACCCGATAGAGAGGAAGTCCATTCTCAAACGATGTAAGTTGTTTTCAAACCACAGTTTGAGGTTGAAAATTTCATAAGTTAAATAATGAGATAGTGTACTGCGCCGGAAAGCAATGTTTGAGAACACGCTCTCCTTTTGGCGTGGGTTTCCTGTAAATAGACCGACATGTCTCTGTATAGAAAAAGATTCGCAGTTCACATATATCATTATTTATGATATTTTCACTTTCAAAGTATGGTTTGAAAATAACTTACATTGTTCGATAATGAAAGTCCTCTATTGCGCTATCGGTTTCTGTCAAGAGACGAATGAACAGAGAATGGAAACGGTTTTATCTGAACAACATGCAACAAACAGAAACAAGGATTCAAATGATTAAATGGTAACCGAATTCATTAAAAGGTCCACAGTGGGGGCTTTTGCAGTACCCTTTAGGATATTGAGATGAAAAAATATGACAGGAGATAATGAGTTGTTTTAAAATTGGTTCCTCTCAGGGGTGAAAAAATTTCAAGACACACATACAAAACAGCCATGAACATGGTGTGCAGCCCCAGTAGCATACTGACTGTTAAGTGAACATGAGTCCAGGAGCTTGTTAAACAGCAGTTATCACAACAGTAACACCAAGAATTTTTCTCTCACAAGTTTTCCTTTTCAACTGACCCTGAAGAATTCTAGAAATTAATGCCTTAAGCAATTATTTTAACAATAACACCATTGACTGCACACACACACATGCATGTGCACTGCATCTGGACACTGAATCTCCACAATTGCTAAATAAATACAATTATAATTATTGACAACTAGCATCATTAAAAATATTCCCACACACCCTGACTAACATACCCTACACCATTCTGTGAATTGCATCTCTATTAGGGTTTCAACCAGTTACAAACCCTGTGGTCCAGTTTTCAGCTTTCCGATCTTCTACTGCCTGCCATGTCACTTTACAACACATTACTACTACACTCACTCACACAAACAAAGAAAAAAAATTGAAACAAACTAAAGTTGTTTACCGGTAATGATTTTAACATTGTGTTTAACATTTGCGTATTTAATAAATACAAATAGCAAGCTTTATAATTACCAATAGCAAAAATAGCAAACATATCTACTGTAAATACACTTCTTTGATGTTGCCAAACTGGAATGTGCAACTTTTTACAGTTATAGTTGAATGTTGTGCTTAACATTACTTTAAATTAAATACCAAGCTTTATACTTAACTTAAAATTAGCAAACATCTACTTTTTACACTTCCTTAAAGTTGTCAAAGTGGATGTGCAACTTTTTCATAGTCTTAAAACATCACTTTAAAAGTCATGGCATTCAAACACTAACCACCAGATGCACATTGAGACTAGAAATATCCTTCTGAGTACAAAATGTTTTGAAATTGCAAAACTAGATAATTAAAATGTATTTACTTATACAATGTATATAGATCATGTACACAGTTTCAAGTAGGTGACGTGGAAGATAATAAAAATGCGTACTATATTAAAATATCTAATATAAACCCCTCTTTCTCAGGAGCCCAAGCATTTAGGCCAATAATGTCTCTTTGTATTCCAGTTTCTAAACACCTTAGAGAGATCTGTGGCAAACAAATTTCTGAGCCAACTTATTGAAAATAACAAGATTTATGCTTCTAGTGTTCCGAAGAGAATTTACTGAACAACCTCTTAAACTGTTCAAAGCACATGAACATGACAATATTCCAAGATCCCAGTCTTATGAAGTTTGGAGTAAACCTGAAAGTCAAAAAGATACCAGTCAGATAAATTATCTGTATGTTTACATCATGAAACACACACAACTGCTTAACAACCTCTTGTTTGCATGGTTTTTCAACCTGCAGTGCGGAATCACACAACAATTTATATACATGTATCTGATCTTACTATGAGTGTGAATTAGATAATGAAAAGCTGATTAACCTTGTCAAAGATCCCCTATTCACATGTGAAGATTGAACTTTTCAGTTCTGACATCCAAAGTTTTCCATGTACTATCATGTAACTGCCACTATTGATTCAGCATTGCTATTTGGAAATTGCACTACCAGAGGTGTATTCTGATCTGTTCTCCAAACCAAACTTACACTTGTGGAAATAATTAACTCTACTCAGTATTCTCAATATCTTGAAAATTATGCCAATAGTTTACACCCTATCTAGAGAAATCAATTGTTACTCATTCTCACATGCAGGGGGCGCGGTGGCCTCATGGTTAGTGCACTAGTCTCCAGTTCAAGTAGTCCAGTTTCAAGCCCTGGCCAGGGACACTGTATTGTGTTCTCAGGCAAGACACTTAACTCTCATAGTGCCCCTCTTCACCCCAGGGCTGGATTGTTCAAAAGCTGGTTGATGCTAACCCAGGATTAAATGTTAACCAAAGTATTAATATTTCTTGTATGAAAATGTTTCTCCCGGCATATGTTTTGTGTAGTTTGAGATTATTCAAACTAAAAAACTGAAGAACAAACAATATAATCAGAAAAACTCAGTGAAAAGTTCCAACACTGAAATCAAAATTCTCGCTAATCCTGGGTTAGCATAATTGGGACTTGAACAACCTGTTCCAGGTGTATAAATGGGTACTGGCAAATTTAATGCTGGGGGTTAACCCTGCGTTGGACTAGCATCCCATCCAGGGGGAGTTGAAATACTCCTGATCGTTTCATGCTACTGAAACCGGGATAAGCTCTGGCCTGTCTGGTCACTTGGCTTGTATGCAGACTTGACCTTTTTCAAATACATGTAGCAACTGAAAGGCAATTGACATACAGTAATTGGCATTACTTACCCTTTGTAATAAGCAAAAGGCCCATTGTGCTTCAACAGCATGTATGCACAGTGAACAGCACTCTTATAAGTATTTGGTGGTGAGTTCATGTAGCGTGTCTTTACTACATCAACAGGTGATGCTATCACAGTGGTAGCAAAACCAGCACCAAAGGCAGATACAAAGTGCAAAGGGAACTCATCCTCCATAAGTTGCTTTCTTAGAAAAAACCCTTTCACCATATCATACACAACCAGCTCTGAGGCATTCACAGTAGAGAGACGAGCCATATTTGCAAAGGCACCTTTCCACAACCCACGAATCCCTTCATTTCTAAAAATTGACTTATAAGCATCTAAAGCCTTGTCGGATCCAAATCTTGAGGCACTGGCTTGAAACCTCACTTTAGCTACTTCCGTTGGTTGAGCAAGCGATACAGCAAAGACTCCTGTCGTACAACTGGCAAGAATCTTCTTTATGACTTTTGGATTGTTGACGTCGTCATCACCATAGAATTTTTTTACTGAATCATAGAGTCCTATCCTAATACTAGCAAAGCATAGTTGTCGGTGAATTCCTGGCACAAGTCCTTTGTACAGGGAACGAAAGCCATCAGTTTTTGCAACAGTTATCATGGACCCAATCATTCCACGGTAACGTACATTGGCATTTGCAGTCGCCACACCACTTTGTACATTTGCCATGACTGTATTTTCACCTTGGATCTGAAAGAAATGTTACACATTGAATAACTGTGATAATGAAACAGCTAGCTCTGTGAGTGGGCAAGGTTAACCGAATCCAGTGCACTGTGACTGACTACCTGCAGAGTAGGCCAGATGGCGCTATATTGCCTGTTCGGGATAACCCGCTAGGTCTCACAAGAAAATAGTGTTCTTTTTCCATATAATAAATCCTTTGGCCAATTAAACTTGCTCGATCAACAACCCATATATATTCTAATTATCCTTTCTTGTTAAATTTCATTTACTCTTTCACTCCCTAAGGAAAATTTCACATTAATGTGGAGCTAACTTCCAAGTTTGTGATGAAACTATATACATAAAAGTAAGTAACTATTCAAACAAAAGCAAATGGCAGATTAAAGTTTTTGTGGGTGCCCTTAGCCTTAATTTAGAAATGTAATACGTGTGTTGTTCTAAACTCCACCAACCCAGGCTACACATCTTAAGCTTGCAAAATGCATCATTTACTAAAATTTGTTTCATTTGTAACTTTTTCTCTTGACTATAAATCCAATGAAAAGAATAGCCTGCAGAACAGGTGGACTAGCAGGCTCGAGTGCATGCGTAAAGC